GAACAATAATAGTGAGAAGCTTAAAGAGAAGCTTATAACCAAGCTGAAACTAAGTAGGAGATGGGAGATAGCAGCTGCCGGGTGCTGCAAAGTCATTTTGTCACCAGGAGCATAGTGATGGGAGGGCTCCCCTGGGCTGCCCACCTCCACCCAGGGCAGTTCTTGTGCCCAGCCCAGTACTAGCCGCAGGCAGCTCAGTTTGCAAGCAAAGGGCACACGTGACTGGTGCAAGACTATAGCATAAGTGCCAGCAGCCATATCATATCTGCGCTTGGTGGAGATGCGGATGCTGCTGGCGAGCTGTGGGCTATCATCTGGACACATCCACACTGATAGAAGGTTGTTGGCAAATGGGAGGTCATGCAGAGACAAAAATGATAGGAAAGGAAGGAGGACATGAGCTACATTCAGAAGTGAAGCAGGAGGATAAGTCTCCCAGGCAGCCCTTGGAAGGGTTGCCAAAACGCAGCGCGCACGGCCAAGCCCTGCCAGATGTTGCTGCTGCCCGGGAGCAGGGCTGCAGGTCTGTGGTGGCACTGGGAGCAGATGGCAGCAGCTGGGAGGAGCTCAAGGAAAGGTGGGAGGGAAGGTGGCTGCCAAAACGCCTTGACTCAGCTCTGCTCATGGGAAGAGACTTCACTTGGCTTCTGAGTCTATCAAAGAGAACTTTAAGCATTGACTTGCTTGCGTGTGATCTACCAGCACGTATGAAGTGGAACATCTTCTGACATTATCAAGTTCAATGAGAAGAAGTGAAAGCTAGGGGTGCTCAAGTGGAATTCAAATGCAGGTTTGTGAAATCGGGTCAGAGAGGACCTACATCTTCACCAGCTACCACAGCTGGATCTGCTCCCAGAGAGCTGCTGCTCAGCCCCAGCCAGACACACGGTGCACAGGGTAGAATTTTATGACCCGTTGTCACAAAGGGGGTCAGATGAGCTGCTCCTCCTGGCTTCTCAACACATCAGTTCACCAATCTTCCTCAAAACAAAGGGAAATTGAGGCTGAGAGGGCTTTCTCTATTAAGTCCAGCAGGCAAATCCATGAAACACTACCTCTACTCACTCCCTGAAGAGCCATGCTGATGCGTACAAAGGAGGCAGGAGACCTTGAGAAAAAAAGGCTGGTCTTGTTGGAAAAGCCTGTAGCTGTGAACCAAGTAAGAGGTTTTTGCATCCATCCCTGTCACAGCCTCTCAATGATGCACTGCTCTCACTGCTCTGCTACCTCATGCGTCAGCAGCTGCCCAGAGGCATCCGGCGCTTTGCCCTCTACCCACAGCTGGGCTGCTGCTTGGTGGCATCAGGATCCTGCAGCAGCACTCGCCCTCCAAGCATTGGATGCCTGAACACTGCCTGTTCATCTGCCCTAAGCCAGCAAGCAGCTCAGAAAATTCAGATTATCCTTTCCCATTTCATTCCCCACCCATGGTGGGGCTGCCTCCCTGGAAGGGGAGCCGTAAGATGGGCTCATTAACATCTGTGAAGTACAGATACTGCTGCACTAAGTGCATTGCAAATGCTCATGGGATGGTTGTTAATTACATATTCAGTGTGGGGTTGTAATGGCATGCATTAAGAGTGGCATGGGGTCCCCACTTTAAATAATGGGGATGAAACAAATTAAACATTTGCCCCTGTTTTGTGGGCTGAAGAATGCAGCTCAGGAATATTTTAACCACTGCGCTGTCATCTCGAGTACCTCCACACCACAGAGGAGCAGAATGAAACAGCCTTCACATAGCAACTCCTAATTTCCTAAAAGCCTTTATGTAACATTCTCCAAATTGCACGGCTTGGTACAGCGATCCCACTACATTTTTACCAGAGGAGAAAGACATACCAGCACTTGCATTACCCAACCTCTGCATACACTGCAATGTGGAAGACCCTCTGCAGAGCACGACCACTCCCAGGCTCCCCAACAGAGCCTCTCTTAATTGGGCAGTGGGTACAAATGTCTCCAGTAAAGGCAACTGGTGGACAAGTGGGAGATTAAGCTCAGAAACCTCACAGGTGTGGATAGCAGCATGGCAAAACGCTGGGGAGGAAGCAGTGGGCAGCTAGGTGAAATACCAGGGATGACAAATGCCTGGGATGACTGTGGAGCTGGTGCGTCAGTGCCAAGATATTGGAGGAGTCTTCATCAGTAAGATCGTAATTCCTCCTGAAAAGGACCTGGCTCAGCCCCTGCAATAGAGCATTTTACTGCAGTCTGCACAGTAAAAGGTGTCCAAAAAAGGAGGACACTGATATGTGTGTTAATCAAGTGAAGAACCATCTACAAAGAAAAGGCATGGATCTGTCTTCCAGTTGAGGAGCTATAAATAGCCTTGCATACTTGCTTATCAGATTGGTTCGGCTGCAGGGATAATCTCCTGGAGAAAGCAATGGAAGCCCTGTTATGTTGGATATTTATAACTAGATGAAAGCCTAGAAAATGCACAGTCGTGTCAATCTTGCGCTCGTGCCGCAAGATAGGGTGTGTGGGATCCAATTAGTCTCTTCAGTTTAATATAAGGTCAAGAATGGCTCCGTCTTTCCAGCTCCACAAGAACGAAGCAGGGTCTCTTGGAGCACTCTGAGTGGCAACAGAAGCATGGTGAGATATTCCCGTAGGGTCACAGTGGTCACAGAGCTCTCTAGTAGGATGACATCACCCTCCCCTGCACAAACAAGGCATGTCCCATGCTGCTGACAGATCCGGAATGCAATGGGAAAAATGGCCCCAATGGACCAACCCAATGCAACCAGAACGTTGTGATCCCCAAACAACGTGTCCTGGCTCCTGAGTCCCCTTATTGCCCGCTTAAAGCATCACAGCCCTCACCCCAGCCCCACAAGTTCACTGAACTGCCATTGCCAGATAATCTGCAGAGCACCAGGGTGATGGAGTTAATGCCAGCAGATCCCCCAAGCTGTGCCCCGCCGCGGCCTCGGCTCTCACTGGATTTTATGTAGGTCGGGGCGGGTTCTGGAGGCAGCAGGACGCCCAGCAGCTGCCATGGGAGGGGAACCGGGCTGGGGGCAGTGAACAGAACGGGAGCTCCAGCACACCATTATCCTGTGTGCACCCAAAGAACTGCGAGGTTCTGTGGGTGCGAGGTGAGCACTTACAGCTCCTATGCAGTGGGAAAGCCGAATTTGTGGAGTGGGTTAGGGCCGGGGACTCCAAAGGTGCTTTGCCCCCACAGCAGCCCCTACTCTGAGCAGTATCCCCTGGCCTTAGAACCATAGAGCCATAGAATTTCTCCACTTGCAAGGGACCCAAGGGGATCGCTGAGTCCAACCCCGGGCTCCAAAACCACCCAAAATCCAAAGCCTATGTCTGAGAGCATTATCTGAATGCTCCTTGGTCTCCAGCAGCTCAGAGCCCTGCCCACTGCCCTGAGCAGCCTGTTCCATGCCCACTGCTCTCTGGGGCAGAGCCTTCTCCTAACATTCAGCCAGACCTTCCCCTGATGCAGCTCCATGCCTTTCCCTCAGCTCCTGCCACCAGAGAGCAGAGATCTGTGTCTTGTTTGGGTCTGCTCATCACATAACATCCTGGCAGGAAGACAATGAACACGCCAAGGACTGCAGAATGCCCTCCATCTCCTACTGCAGAATTTCCAGGTTTTCCTCTCTCACCTTCCTCCTCCTTCACTTTCTCTGAGTCATCTGCCACATTTATGAGCTCAAGATCCCCTCTCTCAGCTCCAACACCACCGCTCTGCTGTACCCAGCAGCACAGCCATGTGCAGCTCCCTTCACACAAGACCTTTGTGCATTCTGCATGCACCTGGCTGGTACTTGAGGGCTCTTGACAAGTCCACTGCAGTCATCCTGCACCAGAAACCTCTCCATACTGCTTTTCCCAGTTGTCTGGCTTGTGCTCTTAGGAAGAAAGCTGACTGCACGACACTCTCAGGCAGGAGGGTGTCGTATTGCCAGAGCATCCAATGGATTTGGGAGCCCAGCCAGACCCAGCTGAAACTTGCCTTGCTTTGTTGGGCACAACATTATCCCAGGAACTAACCTGGGAAGAAGGAGAAGATGGACTGACAGACCTTCGGGCCCCCAAGTTGCCCTGAGCCCCCTCTGTGCTGTAAGAGGGGAACCCAGTATGCTTCCCAGCTACAAGATTTTCTGAACACTCTCAGCTTTGTCCCAAAGTCAAGGATGCTCCCAGAAGCAGGAGATTTCAGGAGGACCCTTAGCACTACCTTTCTCTACTTCAAGGGATTCCCCAGCAAGCTCCCCCTAAGTACAAGAGCACAGAAGACAGCAGGTAGAGGAAAATTGGTGTTATGTGCACAGCCAGAGCCAAGGCTGAAGAAGCAGCTGAAGCCGGTCAGAGAAGCTAGCTTGGGGCAGGGACTGCTTTGGGGCAGTCAGCAGGCAGCACGGAGGCAGCATGGGGACAACAACTAGGGGTGAAGTTGTGCCAGGGCAGGGGAAAGCCAGCTTTGCTGTGGTGGGATGGCAGATGCCTCTGGTAGGGCTTTGTAGGATGGACTCAAGCAAGAGGTGACCTGAAGGGCCCTGCTGGAGCCCTTAAGATTACCATCACCCTGCTCCTGGGTCCTCAGCCCCATGCATTCCCTGTGCCACTAAACCTCTTCTCTGCTCCCCAGGGAAGCTTCACATCTCCAAGAGCACAGCATGGAGCTGAGCACAACCCAATACCGCTGCCCTCTGCATTGGGGTAGGCATCACAGGACCTTCTGTTCACAGTCTCACCATGGGCAGCCCCTCTGTGTGCTTATATCCACGCTACCTCCTCAGAACAGCGTTTTGGGCCCCCTATCATGCTGTTAGAACTGCCTCCTAGTCCTTCCACCTCCTGCTATCCCCTCAACTCTCCCCACCCCACCATGCCTTTGCTGCTCCTTTGCTTTTCGCCTCCCAGCCCTACCAAGCTGCATGTGGGAGCCCCATCTGACCAAGGCACAGAGTCTAAAGAGCCCTGGGTGCAGGGTCCCCGTGGTGGGCACAGACACGGGTGCCGCCAGCACCTACCATTCTCAGGGTGCTCCATCTCCCCAATGCTGCCATCAGGTGTGGTGCGCTCATAGTGGTCCTCAGGCAGGGCCAGCGGCCCAATGCGGGGCCCCGATGATGATTTGCTGCTGGGAGTCTCCGACTCCTCCAGCCCGCTGTCATAGTAGCTGTGCTGGGAGGGGTCTTGTAGGTCCTGGGCCTGGCTGGCTGCAGAGAACGTCACTCGGCGATGAGGTAACTGTGGGAGGAGAGAAGAGAAGAGGTTTTCATTTGCTGGTTGGTTGACATAAAGCAGGGCGCATCAGAATTGACCCCACATTGAAGGCAGAGGGTCAGCAGGGAATACTGTTCAAGGGACCTTGTGCCCATCATCTCCTCTGGCCCCTGCCTCCTTTGCCACCAAGGAGGACACACAGTTTGTATATCACAGAATCGCTAAGGTTGGAAAAGAACACTAAGATCATCCAGTCCAACCATCAACCCTTCACCACCACACCACTAAACCGTGTCCCTCAGTGCCACAGTTCTCAGCCTACAGGCTCTAAACGGCCCCCATAAGTGCCGTGCCCTGAATTACGGGCTGGCCTCCACCCCAGCCTTCGTGCAGTCTCCTTGCCCTCCACTTTGCACGCACCCTTGGTGCTCTCGGAGACCCATTTCCATCAGAAGCCTTTCTAATGGGATCAAGTCTCAGCACAAAGCCTTGGGTGACATCATTCCCACCTTACAGCCTGCAGCTCGTCGCCTCTCACTGTAAGAGATACTCCATCATGGGTCACGATCGCTCCTTCTGTGTGCTCGTTAAACACTGCCAAGCCCTACTTCACGCTTGCTCTCCCTCATGTTATGGAAGAGCTGCTGCAAAGAGCCATTAAACTGCATCATCAGCCTCCTTCAAATCCTTCCAGAAAATCCCTCTTTGTCATGATTAGTGAGGAGTGGAAAGAGTAAGGCAAGTTCACAGGGCAAAACCAGGATGATGAGAACACAAACACCAAGAGAGAATGACACACAAAATCAACATCGCAAGGAGCTGCTCAATGGGACTGGGAAATGATGGGGAGGCAAAGAGCCAACACACTGAAAGGCAGCACCATTCAGGCTAAATTCCACTTTCACTGCAGTATTTACCAAGATGGAGTGGCAATCAGGCATCCCACACAGCCAGCACCAAGGAGGACAGGGAAGGAATCAAGCCTAACCAGGGGAAGGAACACACAGGGAGCATTTAAATGAGCTTGCTGCTTTTAGGTTGGTTGGACCTGATTAAATTCACCCCAGGTGCTTAGAGACCTGATTTAAGGAACTTCAGAGCTGTTAGGGCTTCTTCTTTTTTTTTTTTTTCTGCTTTTTTTTTTTTTTTCTTTAGATTTTTTACAGGTTGAGGGAAGCTCCAGAAAAGTGGAAGAGAGCTAAAATAGCGCCTGTCTTTAAAGACGAGAAAAAAGAAGATCTGGAGAATTATAAAACAGTTAGCTTAATTTCAGTTCCTGGAAAAATACTGAAACAGATAAAAGAACTCTTTGTAAGTACCTACAAGATAACAAGGAAATGAGTAACAGCCACGGTAGGTTTGTCACAAACAAACATGTCAAGGCATTGAACTTCTCCCTTTGAAAAGACATCAGGCCCTGTGGATGGAGGAGGAGCAGTAAATGTTACAGCTTGGCTTTCGGAACTTTTCTGACTCTATTTTAGATGACATTCTCATGGGGAATGCAGGGAAATGTTGTAGGTGCAGCGTAGTACTTCTCTGCTTTGCTAATACGGTGCATCTCGCTGCGGGGTGGATGCAAAGCCTTTAGACAGTCATATTCAGAAAGTAATTACTGGAGACAAGTCTTACAAGCGGGACGATGTTTCAAATGAAATTCTCCGGGTTTTGTCCCACGTCTGTTGCTAGCCTGTATTTTCATTAACGGCTCGGATGACAAATGTGGAATATATCTGTCACATTTGCACACTTGGGAAAAATAATCACCACGAAAGCAGCAGGCTGGCTGAGGGATTGGGGGCTGCAGCAGATCATGGGTTGGCTATCTATCAGCTGTGTCAAAGCCTCGCAAAAAACGCATCTATATTGGGATGCATAAGCAGGATATTTGTCTTGAAGTCACACTGTGCTTGGTGCCAGTAGGGCTTCAGAAGGATTGTAGAAATGCCATGTCCAGTCTGGAACATCACATTCATAGAATCATAGAATCACTGAGGTTGGAAAAGATCTGCAATATCATCCAGTCCAACCATCCACCTATCGCCAATAGCTCTTACTAAAAGCCATGTGCCCCAGGGAGGCAGAGAGAAATAAGAAAATATCCTGATAAGCAGGGAAAAACTGAGGATAGAGGTCTGGGGAGGAGAAGGCAGAAGGTGTAAAGCTTATAGATCAGGGAATCATTACAGTTGGAAAAAATCTCCAAGGCCATTAAGTCCAACCGTCAACCCATCCCCACCATGTGCCCATGTGCCGTATCAACACATTTCCTGAACCCCTCCAGGAACAGTGACTCCACCACCTCCCTGGGCAGCCTGTGCCAATGCATTACCGCTCTTTCTGAGAATAAATCGTTCCTAATATCCAACCTGAACCTCCCTGGGTACAACTTAAATACATCACCTCTCATCCTATTGCTGTCACCTGGGAGAAGAGGCGAATCTCCACCTTGCTACAATCTCCTTTCAGGGAACTGCAGGGAGTGATAATATCTCCTCATAGCCTCCTCTTCTCCAGACTGAACCATCCTTTCTGCAAATGCTTTCTTCAAAGAGAGAATAGTGGGCTGCTCCTTCCTGCCATTAGCAGGATGGAATTGCCTCCACTCGCAGGGAGGAAGATGGAGGTTCCCAGAGCAGAAGAAATACCTACGTAGGTTTGGCAAAGTGTAAGAAATCCCTAAAAGGGGAATGTGCCATGCAGGAGTACCAACTCTGAGAGTCACAGAGCTGAGCTCCAGCTCTGGACCCAGCCTATGGCAGCTATCCTACCTCCCCAAACATCTGCTCCCCAACAGCATCTTTTCCTACAGAACACCTCCATCAGGTACCACACCTGGTGGCTGGTAGAGGGGCAAATCCAGCACTCCCAGCCCTGCTCCCTCATGCACACAGCACTGTGGGCTCAGAGACCCTCAGCCCCACACAGTCCCCACCACACTGGGATGAGATAATAGCAGCTTGTCTCTGGCTGAGGCTCCCCACACGCACAGCCCTGTTCTGGACTCAGCACGGCAAGACACTGGCTCCATTTGTCTGGCTCTGGCTTGCAGAAATTGGGTTTTGTCTGACCTCTCTCTGTGAGGTCAATGCGCCTTTCAGCAGCAGCGCTCCCTGTACAAGAAGCTGCTTGTGCGGTGCGACCGAGGCACCCCTCAACCTTCTCCTGCTGTTATACAAGCTGGCTTCCTCAAGCCCCAGCCACAAGCTGGGTTTTGAGCCAGCCACTCCATTTCATGGTCCTCCTCTTTGCTCACCCCATTTTTCCCTTTCTATCCCTGTAAGGCCGGATGCATCTCAATGCTCCGTTCCTGCTACCACCTCCCAGCTCACACCCCTGAGTCAGAGCAGTGTGAGTGCCCAGCTGAGCTCCTCCTGCACTGCAATGCTCTGCAGGACACGCATGGGCATCCCCTGCTTCTCACCACACGGCTTTGCGTTAAGGTGCGCTTTGTTTCCTCAGGCCCGCTTTACCAAGCAATCTGGATCGCTCTGCATGACTGCTCTGTCCTCATTGCAATCTCCCACTCCACCAAGCTCCGTGTCAGACGCACATTTCATCAGCGTTGATTTTGTATTTACTTCCAGCTCGCTGATTGAGGCACTGAATGGCAGTGGGTGTGGACATGCTGCCAAAAGCTCCTCCAGAAGACCCCCTTCCACCGGGGACTTTCCAGCCTTTCTTCTCTATGCTGCTACTAAATCAGATCGTCACCTAGCCAGCAGTGCCCCACATACAATGGAGAGTGTTAATTTGAAATAATAATGATAACAACAGAAGGCTTGATCAACTTGGCATCTTCGCCAAGGCTCCATCAGCCGCACATTGTCAAATAGATTCTGTGGGTCCTGGTGGTGGCCAGGACAGACTCGTGTTGGTGACACTGCCTGACCACCTCCTGTCACCACGTTGGCTGCCATCACTCGTGGTCCCCTCAGTGGGCTCCTAGCCCACAGCACGCCCCTCGCTGCTGCCCTGGCTCAGGGCAGCATTCCAAATAGCAGTATTCAGAACTGCGCTATCCCAAATAGTGTTGTTGCAATGAGGCTGTATTTTGAACACCTTTGTCACCTACCAGCTCATTGGCAGGTGCCACATCCTGCCTTGTTCTCAACCCAAATTGCCAGTGCGACTTACTGAGTACTTTTGCATTTTTTTGCATAATTAACAATTTGCAAATGACGATTTCTGGTACTGCCTCCTCCTAACACTTTTTTTTAAGTGTTCCTCATTGTATCCTGCTGTCAAAACTGATATTCCCCCCACGGTTTTTTTTGTTGTTTTTTTGTTTTGTTTTGTTTTGTTTTTAGCTTTCCTCGTCAATTTTCAACACTCCAAAACTACTCATTTCTACTAATTATTACACTCTCCCTCTCCCCCCCTTTTATCGCTTTCCTGTTTCTCACTGCTCTCTCCACTCTGCATGGTGTAACCATGAGCCCTCACTGTTCATCCTCCCAGGATCCTCCCCCACCCTGCTGCTCCCCACCACTGATCCCCGTCCCCCCAGGACCCCCATGGCTGCCGGAAAGACCCAGGGCACTCTCTGCTCCTTCCCAACTCTTCCCTTGGATGTAAACCTCCCCAGCTCAAAGCAGGGCATGCACCAGGTTCATTCTGCTTCCCAACAGGGCCGATGCACTCAGCAAAACCAGGAGCTGGGCTATAAGGGAGCAGGGCTGGGTGGCGCTGCGCTGGCTCCCCCTCAAAATGCACCCGTCACACCGTCATGCTGCAGCAGGGACCGCAGGGCCAGAAATTACGCCTTGCACAAAAGGAACCTTAGAATCCACCCTAGGCACCCTTTTCCTGTGGGATTAGTGCCAGAGCAGTAGAAACGTCAGAATTGTTAACCCCTTCGCTGCCCCCTGAACGCCTGCAGCCTCCGAGCCTGCTGCCAACAGAGCTTGCTTCCCCGGCCACTGCCACAATGCAGCAACTCACAGGGCTGTGGAGAGACAGCCATGTCAGACCATGGTGCCCAGAATATCAAAATAAGTGACAAGGGAGCCATTGTGGCACAG